TTTATTATTTTTTAATGTTTATTTATTGAGGGGAGGGACAGAGAGAGCAGGAGAGACAGATTCCCAAGCAGGCTCTGCATTGTTAGCGCAGCCCCGCTAATGTGGGGCTCAAACTCATGAACCATGACAATATGGCCCAAGCCTAAGTCAAGAGTAAGATGCTTAACCCACTGAGCCACCTAGGCACCCCTCATGTAGTTTAATGTTTTTAGTTAATTAACCTATTTATTTTGAGAGAGAGAGAGCATGAGTGGGGAAAGGGTAGAGAGGGAGAGAGAGAGAGAGAGAGAGAGAATCCCAAGCAGGCTCCATACTGTCAGAGCAGAGCTCAGTGGCTCAGTGCAGGGCTCAATCCCATGAACTGAGAGATCATGACCTGAGCCGAAAGCAAGAGTTGGATGCTTAGCCAACTGAGCTACACAGGTGCCCCTCGTGTAGTTTAAGTAAACCATTTATGACTTATTTTCTCTTCTAGATATCTTCAAGGTGCTTTACTGCAATCATATGTAAATATAAATACCACTGATTCAATAAACATTACCTCTTCAAAGCACTGTGTTAAGACAGTGGTTCAAGGTACAAATATGCACTGTGCTTTCAAGAGGATTTTATATCCTTGATAGAAAATGAGAAAAGCAGATTAATTTTTCCTTATGCTATGTGGACTTTCACTATTGAATGTTCCTCAGTACCTTGCCTTTTTAACTATCTCACCACTTCTGCCTAATGTGTTTCTTCAAGCGTGATACCATAATGTTTGAAAGTTTTACAAGCATGCTATTTGGCTTCAACCATCTCTTTAAAAGCTTATCTTGTTACTTGTAATTCCAACTCATGACAGGGATAAATTGCTTTTAATTGCTAGTTATTTCCATTGGAGAACAATCATGAAAAATGAAAAACAGGTAGAAGAAAAAACTGCTAGAAGCTAAGACCATAGAAATTAAATTCCTACAGTGGAATCTCATAATGTTTCCCTAAATAGCAAATAATAATAATAATAATAATAGAAATTTTTAAAATAACCCAAACCAAACCAGAAAACAGTGCTGTGAGGTACTGAAGGCAAGAAACTGGGTCACATAATTACCTGGGGTCTCATTTACTTTTAAACTCTGCAAAGTCAAAGTTCACAGCCTTTGGAGGAAACTGTATCCGTTTGACTTTTTAAAAGCAAGTGGTATTAACAATTTGGGGCACAGTGCAGAAAGTCAGACTTAGTGGCAAAAGTCTGTGATAACATAAAATTCAATTTAGAAAAATATAAGCAGCACATTAAGGTGATAAAGAAACAGTAGCTTTATTTGAATTTTAACTGATATATATATACTCCTTGGGCTATCCGTCTCACCCTCCAAAATTCCAATTTTCACTATAATAATCATTTTCAGAGAAAATAGAAAAATACCATTTGAACAAATTTCAGAATAGTGTAGTGATTAGGCACATGACTTTAGAGGAAAGCAGCTCTGGATTTGAATCTTACTGCTGGTTACCAGCTCTGGACCCAGGCACATTTCCTAACTTCTCAGCCGCAGTTTTCTTATTCACAAAAGTAGTTCCTACTTCACAAAGTTGTTGTGAAGATTAAATGAGGTAAACTTATAGTAATGTACCTACTCATTATGGTAGGCAGAATGATGGCATCCCAAAGACATCTACATCCTAGTCCCTGGGACCTGAAAATACGTTACATGGTAAAGAATTAAGTTTGCATGGACAGTATGCATGGACTTTGAGGCTGTTATGCTAAGTGAATTAAGTCAGACAGGAAAAGACAAATCCTATATGATCTTATATGGAATCTAAAACACAACAAAACAAAATGAACTCAGATACAGAGAAGAGATTTGTTGACAGCAGCAGGGCTTGGGGAGAGGGTGGGGGGACGAGTGAAGGTGGTCACAAGGTACAAGCTCCCAGTTATAAAATTAGTAAGTCATAGGATGTAATGTACAGCATGGTGACTATAATTAACAGTGCTGTATTGTATATTTGAAGGTTGCTGAGAGAGTAGATCTTAAAATTTATCATAACAAGAAAAACGTAACTATGTGTGTGATGGATGCCAAGTAGACTTGCAGTGATCATATAGCAGTATATCGAATCATGACGCTGTAGCCTTGAAACTCACGTAGTGTCACATGTTAATTATATCTCAGTTTAAATAATTAATTTTAGAAAAGAATTAAGGTTACAGACGGAATAAAGATTGCTAATCAGCAGACCTTAAGATAGGAGGACTATCCTGGGTTTTCTGAGTGGGTCCAAGGTGATCACAGGGTCCTCAAAAGTGGGAGGAAGAAGCAAAAGAAGAGTTAGAGAACAAGATGTGACTATGGAAGGGTGGTTGGAGCGATACAACATTGCTGGCTTTGAAGGTGGAGAAAGGGGCCTCGAGCCATGGAATGTGGGTGGCCTCTAGAAGCTGGAAAAGGCAAGAAAATGGATTCACTTCTAGAGCCTGCAAAGAAGAGTGCAGCCCTGCTGACGCATTCATTTAGCTCAGTGACACTGATGTCAGACTTCAGACCTAGAAGACTACAACATTTGTGTGGTTTTAGGTCTCTAAATTTGTGGTAACTTGTTACAGCAGTAGATTAAAAAACAAGTCAGAAATATAGATACATCAGCAAGTCTTCACAAAAGTTACAGTGTGAGGACAAGTGCGTCATATAGAGAATTTTCCTCCCCCTCCCCAGTTTTGGAAAACATGCCCACTCACAAACTTTTCCATTTTTATTTTCTTTACATAACTAATTGCAAGACTTCAGTTTACGATGCCACGGGATTATTCTCCAAGCAATCTACGTGCTGTTGACTAACAGCTTAACACATTATGGGTCCTTGATGATGGCAGATGACAGTTATAGAATATAAATTTTACCTAAGTACTATCTGGTTTCATATATTTTATTTATTTATTATTTTTAAAAAATTATCTTATTTTTTTAACTAAATTCTACCTCAGCCATGGGGCTCAAATTCATAACACCAAGATCACGAGTCCCATGCTCTGCCTGCTGAGCCAGCCAGGTGCCCTTGGTTTCTTATATTCTTATTTGTGTCTAGACACCTGAGAGCATCACACAAATTAGTTATGAACCGCCCATCCCAGAGACGTACAGGAGTAGCCTTGCCATCTCCTTAGAGGTGAGCACAGCATTTGTCAAAGGAGGCAGCCCCCCTCACTGAGCCCTTCCTGCCTCTTCTTGACTGTATCAGAAACATGGTATATACATTATTGCCTTTAATTCACATAACCATGGCATCATCATCCTCTTTTTGCAGATAAAGGAACAGAAATTCAAAGAGGTGAAATAACCTACCCAGGTCACATGGCAGGAAAGAGGCAGAGCTGAGTCCATTTGATTTGAAACTTGTGGTGTTTCCAGAGCCTTCAATCTCAATGGTTGCTCTGGGCAAAAGGCAGCAAGGACCAGGTGTGGACATTTACAAACTCAGACGCCTAAACACCTGAGAGGCACCTCAAATGGTGAGTGCCAGAAGAGGTGAAAGTGAGGTGATAAATAGCAACTGACCGTCAGTCTTCCTGAGTGGCAAGAGGTGTATGCCCTCTCTAAAGGGAATGGCTTATGGCTGCTATGTGACTACAAAGCCCCAATTGCCAGATCCATTAATTTTCCAATAAAAACTAGCAATACACATCTTTAATATGAAATGGCATAATTTCAAACTGCTAGGAACGAATTCAGACTTTCTCAAAATGCTATGCAGGCCAAAGAAGCCACATCTATCAAGCCAATTTTCCCCATGGGCTACCAATTTGAGACCAGTAGTCTTAATCCCTAGGGCCCAGGAGAGTGGTCCCTAGTCTTGCTAAAAGAGAAGACATGGAAAGGATTGAATTAGATTCTGATGGAGCTCATTGAGTGAAGAAATACCCTGATCTAAGAACAAGGGAGGCTTATTCCAGGGCATTGAGGCACATTAAAGAAGGGAATAGGACTCAACTTTTTCACAAATCTTCTTAAAGAGATCAATAATTGGGGCTCCTGCATGGCTCAGTTGGTTGAGCATAGGGCTCTTGATTTCAGCTCAGGTCATGATCCCAGGGTCCTGAGTGTGGAGCCTGCTTAAGATTTTCTCTCTCCTTCTACCCCTCCCTTCTCCCTCAAATAAAAATAAATAAAAGTCATCTTAAAAAAAAAACAAGGAGACGAATAATTAAAGCTACTCTAAACACATTAACCCATCTGGGGTTGCTAATACATAGCATTATTGGGTGAATCATCATTGATAGATATGCTTATCTGCCATATGTATATATATATACATGATCATTAGAAGCCAGATTATTTTAATTTTTAAATAGAAAACAGCTTAGTTAATAACATGAATCTAATTTTATATATATGCAAAAAAGCTGACATATAATATCTGTTGAATAAGAAGAAATAGCAGAAGACTTTGAAAATATGTATTCAAAATAGTACAATATCAAAAATGAAAACTACACTTAAAACTTGCTGATACATATTATTGAGCAGAAAGCTCTGGTTTGAGAAACACAGAAATAGTTGCAGGACTCACTGAGGGATGAACTGATGTAGGAGGAATGCAAGTGGTACGATAGATATCATCTTTGCAGAGCTCTGCAGCCAGGGCATAGGTATGGAGGGACAGACAGCCGGGTAAACCTGGGTGAGGAAGGTTGAAGAAGACAGTGGAGGAGAGGGAGAGAGCCCAAGTGGGGGCCAAGCCATTTATACTTATTAAGGAAAGGAGACAAAGGGCAGAAAGATGTGGACAAGGGCACGTAGGACTTGGGCAGGTATAGAGCGAGGTTAACAAAACCTGACTACACATGTTTACACTATTAGTAATGGCTGACATTGGGACTCCTGGGGGGCTCATTCAGTTAGGTGTCCAACTTCAGCTCAAGTCATGATCTCGTGGTTCATGGGTTCGAGCCCCGCGTCGGGCTCTGTGTTGACAGCTCGGAGCCCAGAGCCTGCTGTGGATTCTGTGACTCCCATGTTCACTTTGGCAGCACATATACTAAAATTGGAATGACACAGAGAAGATTAGCATGGCCGCTACGCAAGGATGACACGCAAATTCGGGTTCTGTGACTCCCTCTCTCTCTGTCCCTCCCTTGCTAGTGCTGTGTGTCCCTCTCTCTCAAAAATAAACAAACATCTAAATTTTTTTTTAAAGTTTACATTTTAAAGTACACTGTAATTTTCTAAGCATTTTAAAAAATAGACTTTTGTTTGAGCAGTTTTAGGTTCATAACAACATTGAGCAGAAAGTGTCTCATATAACCCCTGTCCCCACACACGCCAACCCGCCCCCCAGAGTGGTACCTCCGTCATAATGGATGAACCTACACTGACACATCATTATCATCAAAGTCCATGGTTTACATTAGGGTTCACTCTGGTTACATATTCTGTGGGTTTTTGCCATTGCGGCGTCCTACAGAATAGCTCCACTGCCCTGAAGTCCTTTGAGCTCCGCCTACTCATCTCTCCCTTCCTCCCAACCCTGGAAACCACTGACGTTCTTACTGTCTCCATAGCTTTGCCTTTTCAGATTGTCACGTAGTTGGAATCATACGATATATAACCTTTTCATATTGGCGTCTTTTACTCAGTGATATGCATTAACGCCCCCCCATCTTTTCGTGGTTTAATAGCTCATTTGTTTTTAGAATTAAATAATTTTATATTGAGAGGCGCCCGGGTGGATCAGTTGGTTGAGCGTCTGACTCTTGATTTTTGCTCATGTTATGATTCCAGAGTCGTCAGATTAAGCACCCCCACCGGGCTCTGTGCTGGGCAAAGAGCCTGCTTAAGATTCTCTCTCTCACCCTCTGTCTCTGTCTCTGTCTCTCTCCCGTTGCCCCCTCTCCTGCTTGCATGCTCTCTTTCTCTAAAATAAAAATTAACTAATTAATTAACTTTATTGTCTGGATGTACCACCGTTTACCCATTCACCAACTGAAAGACATCCTGGTTGCTTCCAACTTTTGGCAGTTATGAGCAAAGCTGTTATAAATTCCATGTTCAGATTTTTGTGTGTGAACAATACATTTTAACCTTCATGGTCTGAATATAGAACAAGTGTTCTAAATAAAATCCTAACTAGCACACTAAATCAAAGCATTTATCAATATAACTGGTAGAGTTTATCCTTTGAATGCCCTTTGAAACAACCGACAATATGTTGCTATGTTAGGAATAAAAAACTCTAAATCGATGATTTCAATAAATGTTTTGAGGAATGAACTCTCTGTTTTGTCATTTCCCCCCCATCTTGTCTCTGCTTCACCCCTTCCCAACTCTGAGCACAGTTAGCATGATACAGCGGATCAATGGGTGCTGTAGCCGGGCTGCGTTTGTTTGTTTCTGTTTGCCTAATTGAGGCTCTGACACTTATGACCTGAATGACTTGCAGCAAGTTACTCAACATCTCTGGGCCTCTTCTTCCTCATCTGTAAAGCAGGGGTTTTTAATAGTGCCTACCTCATGGATGAAATGAGTTTATATTGAGAGAGGGAGAGCAGGGTCAGGGCGGAGAGACAGCAAGAGAGAGAGCATCCCAAGCAGGCCCCACACCATCAGTGCAGAGCCCCGTGCAGGGCTTGAACTCACAAACTGTGAGATCATGACCTGAGCTGAAACCAAAAGTTGACGCTCAACTGACTGAGCCACTCAGGCAAAAAAATTTGTTTTACCCACAGCACAGCATAAAAAGCATGAATTGTTTACATCAACTCCTCTTGCCCTAAGTCCTACAGGTGTGATACCAAGGGCCCCAGATAGATGACATATGTGCAGGGTTTGTGTCCAGTGGGGCAAACAGTGAGCTTGGGGAGCTCATTGCTTTTCTAGCAAGCAACAAGCTAAGCCATCTTCTCTTTCACTGGGGGGGGGATGCTACTTCCTTCCTCAAGACTGCTTGCTGTAAGGGACCCTGGCTGGCTCAGTCAGTAGGACTTGCCACTCTTGACCTTGGGGTTAGTAGGTTCAAGTCCCAAGTTGGGCATAGACATAACTTAAAAGAAAAGGGTGGGATGCCTGCGTAGCTCAATCGGTTGAGTGTCTGACTCTTTGTTTCAGCTCAGGTCATGATCTCACAGTTGTGAGATCAAACCTCACATCAGGCTCCATGCTGGGCATGGAGACTTTTTGGGATTCCCTCTCTCCCTCTTTCTCTCTGCCTTCCCTGCTCTCTCTCTTCCTTAAAATAAATAAATAAACCTTAAAAAAAAAAGACTGGGGTGGCTCAGTTAGTTAAGCGTCCGATTTCAGCTCAGGTCATTATCCCCTGGCTCATGAATTTGAGCCCCACGATGGGCTCTATGCTGGCACCTTGGAGCCTGGAACCTGCTTTGGATTCTGTCTCGCTCTCTCTTCCCCTCCCTGCTCAAGTCTGTCTATATCTCTTTCAAAAATAAATACACATTAAAAAAAAAAAAGATTGCTTGCTGCAAACACCACCGTGAGAAACGGCTTGAGTGGTAGAAGGCCTTGACAATGGCCCACAATGGATCCTGCCTTCCGGTATTCACTCCTTCGTGTAACACCTCCAGTTGACTGTGGGCTAGACTTACTGACTCACTTCTAACTAATTTAATACAGCACAAGTGACAGGGTCTTGCTTCTGAGATGAGATTATAAAAAGACTAGCTTCTGTCTTGGGCACCCTCTCAATGTTCTCTCTCACTCACTGGGAGGTGGGCAGCATTTTGGGAGCCGCCTTATGGAGAGACGGGTGGCAAGGAAAGGATGTTTTTGGCCACAGCAAGAACCTGAGACCTGCCAAAAGTGTGCTGAATGAGCTTGGGAGCAGAGCCTCCCTCATCCAGGCTGGGGACCACTGCACCCCGGCCAACACCTGCACCTGCAGCCGGGGCACCCAGGTTCCTAATCAACAGAAACTGTCAACAAAAATAAGTGTGTGTTTTTTTAAGCTTCTACATTTTGGAATAATCAGTTATGCAGTAACAGATTTTTAATATAAGCTGTCAGGGCCTTGCACTCGGCATACTGACTAAGACACGAAGGGGTATGAGAGACCCACAGATAACCATCTCCAAACAACAGAGGAGAGCTACAAACCAGAAGCAGACAATGCCATCTTTCTAGAAGAGGGCTGACAGGCTAAGTGTCCAATATGTAGGGAAAGGCAGACACTGAAACTGGAAACTAGAGTTTGGAAGGAAGCCCTTAGTTGGAACTAGCCTTACCAATCTCAGGGCCAGTTTTTAAAGAATTTTGCTTGCTTGGGGACATAGTGCAGGATAGAAAAAAGTTTTCTGCTTTGCGCTTGCAGTGGGAAGCCAGGTAGGAAGCAAGGTATTTCAGGGTCAGATACTGAAATGCCTACTCTGCATTCAGTGAACCAAATTATCTAGTTGCGTATTACTCTGTCTACTCATTTGCCTTCTGTTCGTCTGAGCCCTTTGTAAACTTTGTTTAAATATTTTCCTGATCTTATCTGTACTGAAGGAAATTAGCAGTCAAAGGCTTGAGCCTCAGTATTAACGGGGAAACAGTGCCCCCTGGAGGCCAGGTCGGCAATGCCCAGAGACCACAAGAGGCAGAAGCTAGGGTAGGCAAGGGAAATGACAAAGTTCTTTATAAACGTTGAGAAAATATTTGATTAAATTAAAAATCTTTTTGATTTAAAGCTTGTAAGAAATTGGTTTGAAGTATTTATAACTAGGTGTGGTGATGGATGTCAACTAGATTAGTGTGGTGATCATTTCACAATACGTACACATATTGAATCATTATGCTGTAAACATGAAACTAATATATGTTATAAAAACCCATTCATTCAAAATTTTAAAAAGAAATAAATTGGTATGGAAGATTTCTTTACATGATAAAGAGATTTCTTTCAAAGAGAGTCAACTTTATAGTCTACATAATGGAGGCCAGCAGTACTGTTGGTAAGAACATGGACTTTGGAATGGACAGGCTTTCCTTTTGTTAGCTGTGTGTCATTGGCCAACTGTGTGTCCTTGGCCAAGCTGATAAATCTGAGCCTATTTCTTTTTTTTTTTTAAGTTTATTTATTTATTTTGAGAGAGAGAATGGGGAGGGGCAGAGGAAGGTAGAGAGAGACAGAATCCTAAGCCAGCTCCATGCTGTCAACGCAGAGTCTGATATAGGGCTGGAACCCAGGAACCTGGAGATCATGACCTGAGCTGAGGTCAAGAGTCTGATGTGCTTAACCGACTGAGCCACCTAGGATCCCCTAGCCTATTTCTTCATCTCCAAAACAAAGATAATATCTCATTGGAATATAGTGATAATTAAATGAGATCATGTATATAATACCCTTCGCACTGGGAAGCACTTAGGTTTTGAAGGCTGGTATTGCTACTACTACTACTACTACTACGGCTACTACTATGACTACCGCTGTATGAATAGCATAAGAGTGTTAAGTACTACTTAATATACTATTCTCTATGCTGGTAATGGAATTTTCGGATAAGAAGAATTTACAGAAGGGCTACCTGGGTGGCCTCCACAGAGCCTGCTTGGGATTCTCTCTGCCCCTCCCCATGCTCATTCTCACTCTCTCTCAAAATAAATAAATAAATACACTTAAAACATTTATTTTAAAAAAAGAATTTACAGAAGACATAGAATAGAGGAAAGGAACAATCAATGGGCAGTAAAACCCAAGAATATTTGTAAACATATGGGAAAAATATATAATCTTTTAAAACTTTCCATCCAGTTTAGAAGGAGTTGTTACAAATATCTAATTAACATCACCAGTCTATTGGATAAGTGGTCAAAGGAGATGAAAAAGAGATTTAACAAGTGTGTTATCTAACAATCTACTTCTTGGTTAAGAAATGAAAAGTAAAACAACTTTCAGCTCTTATATGCCTTTTTAAGCTTCCAATGTAAATGAAAAAAATAAACAGTATGGGTATTGGATGGAGCGCCTGCGTGGCTCAGTTGGTTAAGCATCCAACTCTTGGTTTTGGCTCAGGTCATGATCTCACGGTTCATGAGTTTGAGCCCTGAGTCAGGCTCAGATCTGCTGGTGTGGAGCCTGCTTGGGATTCTCTCTGCCCCTCCCCTGCTCTCTCTCTCTCTTTCTCTCTCTC